AAGACAGCACTGGCGGGGGAAGGGAGTCATACACAGAGCTAGTGGCTGGTGCCATTGTCATTGCTGTTGCTTCGGTGTGTGAGAGGGATCATTGGTAAACAAAACCTAGACATGGAGGATAAATCAGGCTGTCCCGGACTCTCTGGCTCGCAATTTCTGACCGTCCTACATCCTCCTGGTCTGTATCAATCACCACACAAGACGGAGCATGGACACAGCTCGTGGCGGATACTTTTGCGAATACTAGGAACATGGGCAAGGGGGGCGGGAGACACACACACACCACCGGGAGAGCGAGGCGGGAGGGTGTGCCCTATGCTGCTGTTAGCCATCGGTTGAGGAAGCGAGAGAAGAGAAATAAAGCGTTTGGTTGTGTTGGTGGTGTGCGTTTTGACCACCATCAGCGTTCGTTTTGACCACCAGCGCTTGCTTGTTGTCATCAGCGAGCGAGAGAGAGGACAGAGAGAGGCACACCAACACGCTGCTTAGACACCACCATTGATGATGCATGTTTGCTGTAAACCACTGTATACTTGTGTTCGAGGGTCTAGGGTGACGTGTGCCTTCCGTGCTAGTCTGGTCATCCATCACACTTTGTTGTGTTTTGCCAGAAGAACGCTCGACCTAGAAGGAGGAACAGAGGGAGTATTTTTTTTCTGCGCTGCAAGGTGATGGTGAATAACACCCCCCCTATCTCTAGCTCATGATGATGAAGACGTACTTGGACGGCCCCATGGACTACGCGAAAAAGCTGAAATTGCAAATTTCGAGTAGGCGATCTGGACTTGCCAGAACGGAGGAAGAGGTATACCAGCCGTAGGAGAGAGGAAGAGGAGGATAGACACACATGTCCATGTGGCAAATCGGAGGAGAGTAGACCCCACATAGTTGGGGAGTGTGAGTTGTACAGGAAGGAAAGAGGGGATCTCGAGGAGGAAATGAGACAGAGAGGGTGTGACATGGACAAGTTCGGTGAATTAGACAACAGCGAAAAAACGATCGCGATAATTGGGGATAAATGGTGGGCACAAGAGGCCCTAGAGGACGGAGATAAGATGTGCAAGAAATTTTTATGGAATTTGTGACAGAAACGTAAAGAGCTCCCAAATGTTGGTGGTAATGTTGGTGGTGTCTCTAGTAGGGGTAGGAACGGTGCTCCGTCTCGAAAGGGACGCGTGGTCAATGGTCAAATGACTACGGCAAGCAACACATGAGTACGACCCCCCCCCCCCTGCCCTCTAAACGCACGACCCTACTGCAGGTACTGTTTTTCCAACCCAAAAACACTATTACCCCGCCCCCGGCCAGTCTAGTAATGAGCCGAGGAGCGCGAAGTGCGACTGTTTTTCCCTTCATCCCCAGGAGGGAAAAAAGGCTCTATATATCGGCATATCCGCCGAACGATGCAGGGGCCCAAAACTTGATTTCCGGGAAGCCCGAATAGCACACCTTTGGGACCAGAACGAGATCTAGGGCACCGATTGACGATTTGTTCGCTTCTGCGGAAGAAGAAAAATAGCGGCCTCTTGTCCACACCGGTTTGGTCGTGCTCCGGCCTTCACCGCCATATGTACCCAAAAATCGTAGGAGATTTTGCTCCCTGTCCCCTGATTTTCTCTACGAAAAGGGGGAACGCAAAAGCGGAGATCTGACGCGCGCGCGATTCAAAAGCCAGGAGAAGAAACACCCTGAGAAGTCTCACATCCACAGAACCCACCCGCCGTGGTCCCATCCCTTCCATAGGTAACGCACAGCTGAAAGCGGACCTGATGTGCCCGCTCTCTGGCTAAATAACAGGGAGAGTCGTGGCGGTTCTATGGTTGGCCGTTGGAAGAAAATGATAGGGATGTCTTGCCTACAGCAGCAGCAACAACAACAGCAGCGGAGAGTAAAGTTCAGGCGGTTGGTGCTGTTGACACAGTCGCCACGTGGGACTCAGAACGATAAAGGGATGGCATATTTCGCTGGCCAACACTAGGGCGGGGGATAAGGGAAGCAAACGAACACGGCCTCCAGCGAAGGCGAAACATGAGCAGAGAGGCTGAGGTGTTGACAACAAACGGTCTGCGACAGAACGGGCTGGTTTTTGTTTCGAAATAATTGGAAATGCTGCCCGATGGGTTCTATCTAGAGGTGTTCTCGTGTTGCCAATATTGTTCATTTTTGATGTTGCGGGAGTGCTGTTAGGTGCCGATCGTTTGGCGGTACTGCTGTAGCATCGCGTGTCATGTCGTGTGCGTGTGTTCCTCCGCCTTTCGTTGGTGTAGCAATTGACACCAGTGGGAGCGGATGCGTAATCTTGAAGATCCGCTCAATATATTCCGGATATATATGTTGAAGTGCGGAGGAAGTCACAGCACACAGCACCATCGCAGATAGATACCTGTTCTTTACTGCAGGTATTGAGCCGACCCCGGGGCTCGTTACCCCTCCCTATCTAGTATCGCGAGATGAGTCCAGCCGTCCCTTTCCCTCGTCGACGGTCTAAAGTCGAAGTTTGGTACTCACGAGAGCTTTTCAGCTTGCTTTTCACTGCTATGGGGATTCGATATGCGATAGAATACTGTAGTACAAAACAGAACCAAGAGGCCATTGTTACAGGTAACAGGAAACTATCCACACCCTGGTTTTAAGCCGATAATACACTGAATATTTATCAGTGATGCCAGCAGAGGTACAAATATTTCACAGGACATCTCTCCTGCAGTCTGCAGTCTAGTCTATCAACGTCGAGGAGAAACCATCCGTTATCTCGTGTGTTGTAAACTACCTTACAGGAACGCGTCGCAGTGTCTCTTGACAACGTGCTGGATCTAAATATTGCTGTTGGTCCTACACGTACGTAGACCATGCGGCTCAAATGCGGCTCAACCAAATTTGTATGCATTGTACAACACTTGTTTTTTGTTGACGACCGCCGAACTGCTACAACCATGAGCGAGCGGGCTCCTTTCCCCCGCCAAAACGAGACGAGTGTAGCACGGACAGGGTACCTCCTCTGGAGTCCTTCTGAAACATACAATGTGGCCTCTTCCTCACCTCCCGCCGCCGAGCCGTTTCGTTATTTTGTATTGCTCATTCATGAGCGACGCGAAGGTGCGACCTTGACTGGCCGGTGTTCCTGTACTGGCACTCATTTCGCGGAAACAGGGACAGGCTGTGGAGGTTCCCAACCTGGAATAGGCTGAATAAACCGACGACAGCAGTAGCAATAGACAATAGACAACGAACGGAGTAGGATCTTTGTATGCATTTCCCACGAGGTGTTGAGAGCCTCGCACGGTCAGGTGCCACTCCGTAGAGGCCAGCACAACAACTGGGCTGGTGTGGTCAGATTGGCGCAAAACATCTCGAACACACAGTGGGCTCCAGTTTTTTGCACCACAGCAGTGTAGTCTACACGCCTGCAGCGGCTCTTATGAGTGATGTCTCACATTGCTACGTAACCTCTTCGTCAGTGAAGTCCTCCCAGGATGTGCGTGGACGGAGAGAGGGAGGGAGAGAGGGAGGGAGCGAGCGAGAGACAGAGGGAGAGAGAGAGGGAGAGAGAGGGGGGGAGAGAGAGAGAGAGAGAGAGAGAGAGAGAGAGAGAGAGAGAGAGAGAGAGCGGAGAAGGAGGAAAGGAAATATGCATATGGCGTTACACTCTGAATGGCCATTGGATCCTGCTGCAGCACGTATGTATGCATGCATTCATGTAGAGGCAGCAACCAACTTGTAGACTACACAGCAGAATGTCGAGCAGTAGTAGCAGACTTGAGCAGATTAACAGACATGTATGCTGGAGCCCATTGAATGGCTAAGACTGCAGCTAGAAATAAGAACTAACAGTAGGTAATATCTATGCATGCCCCACGTGGTTGGCACGGTAAGTGGTGATAATATATTTGGTCAGAGATACACAGCTCAGAATTGATCTATAGTCTACAGTATATTAATATGGTGGTCTAGACTTGTATGACTGCTGTGTTGTACTGCAGTATCGGTCACGGGACTGCTGTAGACTACGTGAAATAATATCTTGTACCATTTTGGTATTGTAGACTGTGGTTGAGGCGACGTTGTTGTTGTCTTGTGGTTATTGTCTTCAACATCGTCCGGTTGTTGCTGAGTACAGAACGTGCCCGATTAATAGGGTGTTTGCTGACTGGAGTTTGTGTTTGATCTTTGAAGTCCAAAGGAAGTCCGAGCTGAGACAATTGCAAACACGCAAACTATTTTGTTTCGATGGAACCCTATTGCCGCGAGACCTCAGGCCAGATTAGAAATCTCGCTTCGCTCGAATAATGCTTCGAAAACACATTCATTCACTGTGTTTCCGCGGCTCGCAGCCTTCATGCAAGCTCTCTTTCGCCCAAAGTGACCCAATGTCGCTGAGATATGACCGGCACCGCCTCCACGGTGTCCTTATTTACGACACCGCGCGACTTTGTTAGTAATTGCGTTTGAAGTGGTGTTGCGGGTGTCTTCACTTGAGCGTGTCAAATCTTCGATCAGAGCGGTCCTGCCGCGGTTTGAAGACCCGAATCCCGAGCCGAGATTCATCCTCTTGAGTACACTTGGATGTCTGGCTTCGCAACAGCATATGGGAAAATCTACGCAGCACTGACACCTTACGGAGAATCGCGCCCCTCATTGGTTCTTGGTTCAGAACCGCCGCGACCAATCAGCAAACACAATCGTAGATTGTGGGGAGAACGTCGAGTCATCAAACATTCATTCGTGTGCATCATAGTGCGGCTCTGTCTCTGCTCTGCGGGCGTTCTGTATTTGTGTGGCGGCAAAATAATTTAATTGTTCTGTCTTTGCGTGGCGACTACATAGGTGGTGTTCAAATTTTCGGCGGCATGTACGACCTTCGTCCCGTGCGACCCCAACTTATACGCCCACCACATACACCGAATGTGTAGCCTCGCACCAGAATAGATGGGACGAACACACCCACACAACGAAAACCGATGCCAGTCAGTAGGATTCTAGTACGGCGATCCTGGCTTTCAACACCATAGCCTGTCTTATGACGCACTCGACAACGTTGACGCCTGTTGTCTTTCAAGCGACCTCATGCCCCGCTTCAAATCGCGTATGTGGGCTTCACAACTCCACGGTACTTTATCTACTCCCCTCGGGATCGCTCCGTTCCAAGAATGGAGGGTGCTGGTGCGTGAGGGGGTCGCCGCTGGCGAAGAGATGGTTTTTATTTAAAACCCTCCGATCCTTCCCCAGCGCTAGTCCTAGCGTCTTCTCGGTGTTTCGCCTTGGATTTCATGGAGTCGACCACGTTTTTGAAGTCTGTCTGCATACACATCAACGGTATGGAATGGGCGAATTTGGTTGTGTCACTTCGACACATGTTGAGAAACGCCTCCCATTTGTAGCAACGCGACGGGGTGCAACGGGCCGCGGACAAGGTGCTTTACCGCGTTTTTGAGACATGCTTCCGAACTGCGTAACATGTCCTTTCATTTCGGTGTGCGATGCTAACAGCACAAAGAGCAAACGGGCGCAACGACGCGATAGTTGACCCCGGATGTGAATCTGATCGGCCTTTCGAGGCAAGTGGATAATTAATCTAGCTCCGTACGTTTCGAGGACACGTGGTAAACGCAGAACACGGCGAAGAGCATACGGTTTGTCACAGAAAGGAGTACACCCAGCTCTGAAACTTATTCCAGACGCCAGTTTCAGAGGATGCACATTGTCTCGAATGCATGTTGGCCGCGTGCCACAGCGCCGGCGTGTCATACAGTTCAATGAAAAGGTACACATGCGGACATGAATTTGAACCCTATACATGACTGACTGCGGTGTTTTTTCGATTGCAGGCTCTCATCCGTTACATAGCGTAGCATAAATGGCATGCAGAGCACGCACCCAAATCTATTTGGTGACAGTCCCCAAGACGCGCGGGGCATAAGGTACGCGTGGGGTTTCAAGAGGTGATGATTGCACGGGTGATCTTACGGGAAACAAGAGAGAACGGATCAACTCCTACCCGACGATATGTCGCACAACACGCGGTAGCCCTGGTGCCTACTTGTATTCATCTTACCTTCGCCTCGTTGGTTATTTCCTTGACGCTTACCTTTTCAGCCAGGACGTCCAGGAGCTTCACAGCGAACGGAACATAGTCATGCTTGCGGCGCATGTTTTCCTTCCTACAACGCATGAACAACCCACGGGAAGAATGGAGTTTGATTTTGTGTTGCATCGTTACATCAAACACAAACACCCGCGACATGGGCATCAGCACGCATCATAACGTTCCCTGGTAACCGAAAAAGGATTTGCAAGCGCTGTCTTCGTACGAATCTAGAATCTGGACTAGCGGACAGTCACTTCGTCTGGGCCGAAAGTGACCCCTACTACAGATTGTCAACTGTCCCTATTTCCTCGCTCACCTCCATTGAGCAAACTTCGCTTCCTCGAGAGCGACGGTCACATCGCACTCCTCGGCGACGCGCAGCGCTGCCGCCCGCTGACTCTCCAGCGCGAAGTTTTCCTCCTACAGCGATAACAAGATACCACGGCATGACTATGTGCGAAACAAGGGGAGGAGGCTTGGAGGTGATAGGTCACACAACATTCGCTGAGTGATTCAATAGAAAACCACGCAACCTTCTGAGGTTTACGACGTAGGTTCGAATGTCGGCGAACTAACACGAACTGGAGATTTCATCTCACTGGTGTATGCCCAAACAATGTGGAGAGTCATACCTTCGTGTGTACGCAAAATTCGACTTCACGGTCGACGAGCGAAAGGCAAGGCTGAATCCTATTCGCGATAAAACTTAAGGCTAACACCGCGGAAGGAAGGCCAACAAAGCTTCCAGGTGGCCTTCCTGATGTGTGACCCAGGCCAGTACGTCCGAAATTGTGCCGAAAGGTGTACAAGTCCGACGTCCACAATAAATGGGAGGAATCGGCACCCCCATCTCTAGGAAGTAAGAAGTACTTTCGATCACATCAATTCTGAATATGTTGTGAATGAAGGTCTTACCTGCTTCAGCGCAGAGAGCGCGGCGGCCTCGGGCTGTTGTACCCCGCCTCTACCCGACAATTCTCGGTCCAAAGCTTCCACACGCCGCATGCAACGCTGTCTTTCTTCCGTTGCCACATGCCTGAATCCCCACACGGTGTACAACACGTCAAACGCAACAATATCAACCCTCTTGTCAAAGAAAGAACGGTGGTACTGCTGCTGTATGTACTACTGTATGCATAGGCATAGAGTTTAGCTATGATTGGAGCAGCGTGTATATATGCAGACAGAGGCGGTGCTAAATTGAGATCCATCCGCGCTTCTTGTCCCGTGAAGCGTGTTCTCCATCAGGTGGTCCATTCTGTCGAAGGTGTGGCATGTTGCAAGATGCAGCACGAGAAAAACAAGTTGTCTAAGCGCTCCTGCTTGTGGTGCGCCATGGCGAGCTTGAGGATCCTGGAGGGGCCCTTCAGAATGCCCAAGAAGCGCTCCACGTTCTTACTCTCTCCAGCCTCTTCGAAACGAGGATGTCGTTCTCGCCCAGCGGGAACTTGGAGGGATCCATCCGGATTGCCCACTGGAAAAACGCGAGAGAAGGCGGGCGGAGAAGGGGAGGGAGGAAGGTTCGATTCGATGCTGTTAAAAAGCTGCCAAAAAGCCTCTCAGGGATTTTCAACGGGCGGGGGGGGCGGGGGCTTCGGGGTCGAAGGGAAGCGCCAAAACAAGTAACAGCAGCCACAGTAGAATTCAACGTTTTAACACCATGATTGATCGGCGTTGAAAATGTCTGAAAACTAGCAGCGTGGTTCTTTGCGACAAAAAATATTCCGCTGGACACGTCTCTCTCTCTCTCTCTCTCTCTCTCTCTCTCTCTCTCTCTCTCTCTCTCTCTCTCTCTCTCTCTCTCTCTCTCTCTCTCTCTCTCTCTCTCTCTCTCTCTCTCTCTCTCTCTCTCTCTCTCACCCTGTCTCAAGCCGGACAAACACCTTGCAAAACACATATTTTGGCCACCCAAGCACAAGGTACGTCATATTCATCCACCTCATGGTAGTCGACGAGCAAATAGCACCCCTTGTGCGTCGTCGTCGTGCCGTCCTCGATGCAAACGTCGAAGGTCTTCTCCGTGTGCTGCTTGTCCGTCCGAATCGTCTCCGCCGCGGCATCCCAGCACACAATGATCGTGTGATTCGTCGAGCCCGTATAGCCCCCAGTCACGGCGATTACACGGACAACGTGATTAACCGTGAACTGGTACCCGATCGTGGGAACCCCCTCTTTTCCTGGGTACGAACGGGCTAGGTTTTTTCAACCGATATGAGTTACATCCATGCAACCCATCGCACCCGTGAACCCAAGCCGGTCGTACTGACGTGGTCCAGCTCGCCGTTCTGTTCCGATGGGAGGTAGATGTGTCCATCGTGCTATTGTACATCTCCTTCGCGAAGGCCTCGCAGAACTTGTGGACAGTTGCCAAACGCTTGCAAAGAAATTGCTCTGCCGAGTATGCTAAGCCAGGCCAACACCTGTAGCAACACGGAATACAGCGGTTATATTAGTGAAGTAGTGTGGCTGCCTGTATTGTTTCCGCGTGGAAGCCTCTCATGGGCGGGAGGACTGAGTATTGTAGCATACACTAAACAACTGAACAACTGTGAGGTTATCTTAGCGATAGCGACCTGACTCGAGCGCTCCCCTCCTACGTACGTCCGACGCAGTTCAACCTGAGGCGACGTAACGACGGTACAGTAGTGTAGCAGCAGTGTACGGACCACAAGTGTACAAGCCTTTGCGAATATAATATGCTACTGTGCACGACAGCAAAGCGACTCGGTGCACTTCTTGCAAGATTGGAGAGCACCTGCGGTCACGAAGGAAGTCATCAAGGACATGCCACGGAGATGGCCTGCAGCTGGCAAAAAGAGTAAAAGTATGCCGTCTGGTTCCTCCGCTTGTCCGACTCTACACTACAGCAATAGCAATATTCCCCTTTTTTTTGTTACAGAGCGTCCGCACTTTCGAAATCCAACATGTCATCAGCTTACCTTGTGCTCCACTTGGTGGCTTGGCCGACCTGCTGCACCCCAAACAGCAGTGGTGAACCAGTCCTTGCTCGCGACCAACGCCACGAGCACAGCGAGAAGCTGTAGAGACGCGGAAGTCCACTCGAAACTGCTTGGGGGTGATGCTGGTGCTGTCCTCGAGATTTTTATCCTCCAACATCTATTCCCAATGGCACGTCTCCAAGTCTTTCTTCTGTCACTATGTTCGTGATAATAGCCCGGGGGTAGCCCCGGCCTCATCTGAAGCCCTTTCGCTTGTTCCCCAGGGAGGGCATGTATGTGTGGGGTCGAGGATGATGTAGTTGGGGGCGGTGATGAAGATGATGGATAAGTCCATCCATGGATGTTAAATGAAAGAAGCGAAGAAGGAACAAGAAAGAAGGAAAGAAACACCATTTCTCCCCGTTTTCGACTTAAACTCCACTCGACGTGCGGATGAGTACGACATAGAGGGGGCAAAGAGACAGGGCGCCGTCGGCCGTGGCCGTGGTATCCATCGTCGGCAATAACGGTAAGGCCAACATTTGACGGGTAGATGGGGAAGCGTTAACCGCCGCAATTACCCCGCTGGACAAATACGGGAGAGGATGATCGAGGGCAGCCCCGATGGGTTCACCGGCGGTGTTAAAGTGAACGTTGTGGACTTTCTTTATTGATGGTCCCGGCATGTGTCTGCAGCACAACGAATACCGCATACAAGCGGCAAACCGCAAAAGAATCGACATACAGACGGAAAAGGTAGTCCCTCCAGGCAAGGAACGCAGCACGAAATCCTGATACATACGCCTACGAAGTAGTACCCAAAAACGGCAACGAGGGGAGTGGCCGCTGCAAGGCCAGGTGCGCAGATCACTCCTATAGACGCACGTGCAAAATGGACTCAAGACCGAGGATGGATGCAATTACACACGGGAAAATGAAGTCGGAAAACGCAGGAAATGCGGTCCCCTATCAGACAAGGAAATCAGGTAGAAAAAGAACGGGAGGCCAAGATAGGGCAAGGCGGGCAGGCCACCTCCCAGGGGTAAAACGGAGTCGTCAGGGAGAGGATTGCCGCCGGAGTCCGTTCCGGACGCAAAGAAGTGGGTCGTTGCTGGGGTAGACCCAAAATTTTCTCGTGCCGGCAGTGCTTTGTGGGGAGGAGTTTTCCTCTTCATGACCGGACTCAACGCGAACAGGAAAAGGAGAGCCGCGAAGGCGACAAGCCGGGGGTACATGATGCAGTCTTGGGTGTGTACGACAAGACAGACGGGAAGTCAAGGCGTATGACCTGTACACCCACCATGGTTGGCAGTCGAATTGCGTATCTATCTATAGAAGTCCAATAGTTGGCAGTTGGCAGTCGAATTGCGTATCTATAGAAGTCCCATGGTTGGGTATTTGGTTGCGTATAGTAGTCTATGCATAGTATGCCGTACAAATACATGTAGTACCACCGTACCCTGACCAGAAAAAAAGTGCAGGGAAGACACGCTCTGACGAGAGATTCGATGTCACTGTGTGTCGACTACGCTGTGGTGCTCAGTCAGTCTGGGAGACCAAAAATAAATTTGCGCAACCTCACTACAGCAGTACAGCAGTAGTTGTAGTTCTGCAAGCTGGTTGGTACACATCCTGATGAGGTTGACCTCTTGCGAGATGTGTGGCCTGTATACTAGGGGCAACAGGAGAAAAAATCATGTTCCTATACTATCGGGTTCATGTATGTATGTATGTGGAATTTTGAGAAGAGAGAGACACCCATGCCACTACATACAGTAGATGGTGAGACTGACCATGGTGACTGGTCACAATCAGCACAATCAGTCTGGAAGATACCAAATAATAATGTTACTAATGCGAGTGGTCCACAGACTACTGTATACTGCTGCTGTGGTCCACAGTCAGTCTGGAAGGAGAAAAAAGAAATATTATACTCAATGATGAGGTTACTTGAGTGCTGGTGAGGTGTGCTCTGCCTTCGAGCATTGCCTTGCTTGTCACACACAGCAGTGGTTATCGGCAAAAGTTTGAGGCATCTTTCAGGCATTATTGCCTGGGCTGTGTCCAAAGTCGTCGACTTTCGTGCGTGATTCTGAACCAACCGTTGACGTGCATCCTCCCCGTCGTGGGCGCGGCGGTACTTGCGACTATTGGGGGTAAAACTGGAGGTAATGATGAGGGAGGGGTGGTTCGGTTGTTCGCGCAGCGGGGAGATCTACGAATAAGACATACAACAACGGACGCGTTCTCACAAGCTGACCCAAGCGCTAGCACCAAACTCGCAGGAGGGGCGGAACGGGCCAGGAGGGACAACTCTTCCAACCCACACGAAAACGTGTCGACGGAATCTCGAGAAACATTGACCGAAGAAAAAAAACTTGCTTCTAGAGAAGAGACCGAAGATCGCCTACTCTAAAACCAAGTGAATATGCAGAGAGTGGGGTCACTTTTTGGTGGGGTCACATTTCAGTGGGGTCGTTTTCGAATATAGGTTCTGAGAATATCGTCCACAGAACCTGAATCCCTTTCGGGCTTCAGTAGTCTGAGGTGAGAAGGGCATTAGCGGGACCCTCCTCCTCTTGCGACAAGTCGTTGCGTTGAACCTCATCGAGGGCCACCAAGGCCATAGCCAGAGTGGTTGCTGGCAGAGGGCATCGCCCACACCGGTTGCGGCCACCCCAGGCGGCTGATGTAGGATGGAGCCAAGCAAGTGCCACTTCTGCTGCCAGTGAGCTGCGACAGCGATGGCAGCCATTTCCAGGTTGGTGATGTGTGTGTGTCTGTCGTCAGCGTCGGCGCATGATGCAAAAAAATGACATCCTTATTGACAGGCCTAACCGACCCAAAAGTCGCCCAAAAAAAGACAAGTAGCCGGTCCAAAACGGGCTTTTTCCAAAATAATTCCCCGTAAGGAGATCGTTGGTCGTTGATATTTTGATGGGAACAACAGGGTCAATTTTTCCTTAAAACAGTTTTCCAAATGACCAACAATTAGCAGCTCCACTGTAAATATTATGTAAGGGCACAGAAAAAAAGTACACCAGACATCTATTTCTACGTAGTCCGCATAATCAATCATACGAAGTACAGTGGGGGGGGGGGGGGTGTACTCATAGTCGTGCATGTCGTAGTCGTTAGACCATTGACCTCGCATCCCTACAAAGCCGGGGCGGAGCATGCCGGGTTCTCACCGGACCAGGCTCTCACATCACCAAGCGCGAAGCACCGTGAGGTATTCGGCGAGTCGCATGAAGGGTGCGCTGCATCCTGCTAAGGGTATTCGGCATCTTGTGCTTACTTCCTTGCGTACGGATGACAGCTGCGTATCACTTAATTTATTTTCTGTTGCTTTCACTTCTATACCCAGTTGTAAGCGCTGTGTAACTGCCTCGAGGGTGCGTGACCAATTTAACACAACGTGCGATTATCCCCTTTGCGCGTAGAGAGGGTTCTCGACCCCGCACAACATAATCTACACGACCACCATTCATGGTTGCCGCAAAAAACAAAACAAAGGCAAAGGCAAAGGCAAAAAAAAAAAAGAACAGTGGGGGGCCCTCTATAATGCCGGTTGAGTAGGGATGGTGCCCGGTATAGTGCCGGTAAAATCGCTGGACACAGACAGCGCCCTCAATAGTGCCGGTTAGGCACTATTGAGGGCTGTCCCGCTATAGTGCCGGTTCACAACACACACACAACACACAAGACGAAGGACAGACGCCACGGTACACGCGCTGCTGCAGACCCGAAGAGCTCTACGCAGAGGTGCACCATGCCTTGTGGGGAAGGTGAACTGTGCCTTCAACAAGACAGAACGCCGCAAGACTCTGATGGCCACGTCTGCCAGGGGGGATGTGGCGGGCGGCTCCACGGCAACTTCGGCAGCATGTTTGAGGACAACGAGTTGCGCCGCATCTGCAGCACGTGCGCCGCTAGGACTGCCAAGCGCAAAGCGACACCAGCTGAGGGTGCTGGGGCGGGACCATCTAAACGCCGGAAGAACACGAACGGGGGGGGGTAAGAAGGTCTCTCGTGCGCGGACAACAACACCAAGCTTGAGATTCTCAAGCTAGTGGATGCGAAGATCTCTCACACACAGATTGCAGACCGCTTCGGGTCTTCGGGTGCTCGCTTCGGGTGCTCGCAGTGCGCCGTCGTGTTTCTTTTTTTCTATTTCAATTTTTTTCTAATTATCTTGCAACAAAGTCTGCGTCTTCGGCAGGGTGGGACCAAAAGTGTCGGGAGAAAGCCTGCCCACCCTCACGCTAGAACTTCACTAATTTCAGTTTCGATCCATTTCGTACTCTGTTGGCGCCGCAAACCGCTAGCGCCACACCATAAAATCAAATAGTGCCTCAGTAGTGCCGTAGTGCCTCAGTAGTGCCATATTCGAAGCCTCAACCGGCACTATTGGGGCACTATTCTGAATAGTGCCGGTGCCCGGTATAGCCAGTAAAATCTCGGGACACATCCCAGCCCTATACAAGGCCCCCCACTGTAGATGACTACAGCTGTGTTGTTTTCTTTCGAATTGCTCCACCTTTATCGGCTTCTAGATCACCAGGGACGAAGAGAGAGAAATGAAGGTTGGTAGGAACTAGCGCTAGAAACCCACAAGCCTCGCGCCCGATCCCCCCTCAAAGTTGTTTCTCTCCCAGTACTCGCACGAAAACTGTACCAAGCCGGGGAAATCCGACTTTGACGTCGGGGTCTGGAATGACCCAAGTCCCCACATCGCACTCGACCATTCAGCAACACCACCGCCCACGTGCAGTGAACCAAGTCGAGTTAGGGCACTGAGTCGTACGCAACCGTTATTTCAGTCTTTCAGCTAGACATTGTGGTGCGGTACATCGGTTTGAAATGGCGATAAAACAACTTCTTACGGCTATCTTCGCCAACCTGAGCGTGCCCATCTTTCGATCACAACGCCCCTCCCTTTCGCGACCTCAAGACTCCAAGGGCGAGCCGAGCTAGAGCACCGTGAAGTACGCATAAATCTCCGACTTCGCAACGACACCAGGGCGAATCTACGCATAGCACAGTCACCTCTAAATAAGCGTGCCAGCCATTGGACGAGACTTTGTTCGAGAACGTGAAGCCGACAGATTATTTTTTGGTTCTTACGCACAAAATAGATAAGAGTGAGGTTGTACATCGTGTCCACCACTCGGTTTCAGTCTGCGGGCGGTGATCGATCACAGTCCTCTCGAAAGGAAGAAAACTGCTACTCAAGCGCCAAAGACCGTAGTCCAACAACAACTTCACGTTGTACCACCCGCAACCTGCCCCAGCCCACTCAGCAGATGCGCCGCCGGCCCTATTCTAGTCACCGGCTTTTGGGATCTCTCTACCGTAGTTGTGCGTGTTACGGCACCGTGGTGAGAGTGTTTTCGATTTTCCAACGCACCCCCGGTGCGATGACGCCGATGGGTGCGATACGCAACAACACACAGTGACCCTTCGACGGTCCCTGAGTGCAGGTAACCCGGTGCGATGACCGCAAAACTAACACAGGTGCTTCCTGGTACAAGGAAGACAGCTTTGACCAGGTCAAACACGAGTTTGGGTATGCGTGTACCAAGGGCGAAATACGATGTGGTTCCCTCTGGGAGAGGTCTTCCGGCCCCCTGTGAGCCGCAAGGCTCTTTTGTTGGCTGGTATGTTCCCATCTGTCGCTGTTGTCTTCCTCGAGGGACATGGTAGTACCATAAAAACAGGCCGGGGTGGTAGTCACCCAGCCAATCTCTGAAGCCGCCAGTCCTAGTTTCTAATTTCATCCGAGAAGTCAAGACTGTTTCATGCGCAACGTGTCTTCTGGCGTTTGGATTTGGGGAAGGGGTCCTTTTCTTAAACCACGATTTATGGGAACAAAATCTTCTTTTGAGCAAACCTTGTCTTTTTCGGGGCTGTCTACTTCCGGAACGAATGCGAATCAGCTGTTCGACCTTGGAGAATAGTCATAGCATTGGCTGAGATATCTACAGATCACGTACTTCTTTCGCCAGGGTCCATGTTTGATTTCTTCAACATGTGCAATTTTCAAGCAAGATGCTTCCAAAACCGGCATTTTGTCAAATCTTGGCCCGAGATTTGCTCGGAGTTGGCTTTTCGGCCCAATCTTGGACTAATTTTGCAAATCTTGCTCCGCTGGAAACAAATCAAACGTGGACCCTGGCGAAACAATAGGTGCTCTGTAGAGATCTCAACCAAAGCTGTGACTATTCTCGAAGGTCGAACAGCTGATTTGAATTCGTTCGGGAAGCAGACTGCCCAAAAGGTCGAAAAAGACAAGATTAGACCAAGGGAAGATTTGTTCCCATAAAGATGGGTCTTTTCCCAACATATTATTGGGCTGCATACGCGAAGGAAAATGGCAAAGTATCACAGCCCAAATGCTCACAGCCCGAACATTTCCAAGGATTCCGGCCGGCCTGTTAGAACATTGGCCCATTTTCCAACAGCGATATTCCAACCCGATCGCTGTTAGAAATGGGGGGGTACCCCCTGGTCACACCCCGATCGTGCCAGAACGAGGAATTACACCGTCTGCTGGTCAAACAGAGGCCAGCATCCGGAGGTCATGCACAAACCCTCCGCAGGTGTCTAAAATGTAGAGCGTTCTGCATCGTGTTGGCCACACACCAGCCGAAAACATCAACCCTGCTACTGCTCTGCTGACATTCTTGCCTTTCGGCCGAAAAGAGCCGTTTTTGCGCCTGCTGCATGTGTGACCAGTTGAAAACGCACGCCAGAGAGAGGCCTTAGGCCGTCGACATCCACAAACTGCAGCCAGTGGCGTGTGGTCATACATATACCCTCTGCTCGGGTACCAGAAACAGTGCGTATTGTCCAGTTTTGAGTGCACACGGCCTGCAAACGTGAACTAAAGTGTGTATCGGTGTTGACTTTTGGACTTTTTTCTTGTTCCGCCGCGTGTGTGCTCCGTGTATCACCCGCTACCAGTCAAAAACGCATTCCAGAGGGAGTCTTTAGGCCGATGACATCCACAAACTGCAGCAAATGGAGTGTGGTCATACACATACCCCCTGCTCGCGTCCCAGAAACAGAGCGTATCGTCCAGTGTATTGTCCAGTTTTGATTGCACACTGCCTGCAAACGTGAACCGAAGTGTATGCTACGGTGTTGACTTTTTTGGACGTTGTCTTTTTTTTCTGGTTGCTGCGAGTGTGATCAGCCCACATCGCATGCCGGAGAGAGGGCTTTTGCCGATGACATCAACAAACTGCAGCCGATAGCGTGCGCGATCATACACATGCCCTCTGCAGGCGACCCAAAAACAGGGCGCTCGGTGTCTTGTTGGTCGCACACGAGCCAAAACCGTGAACTGAAGCATGTTGTGACCCACAAAACACTTTCATCGGCCCCTTTTTCCCCTGAGAAAAAAAATCTGACTCGAGGAACCGCAAGAAGGTCGCTTGGATCTGGATCATATTTCCCGTGCAAACCACCACCCCCCCCCCAGAGAGAACAAAAATATCCCCGAAAAAATAAGTGCGTAAGAAACCGCTCAAGGGTGATAAGGCGCAGGGTTCGTAGCGCCAAGTATTCATCTTGGTTTTCCCAAGGAATGAAAAGTAGAGATTGCGGTCCCAGGCCCACGGAAAGAGAACACCAGTTTACGTGAGGCAGGCAAGCTCTTCGCGGGAACGATGCCACCATCTGCTGGACGTGTTGGCCGTGCCAGCCTGCAACTTCATACTGCTGAGAACCACAAGGTTTGGTAGGGAAGGCTACACGAGGAAATATAAATGGCGGTTATGGTGATGAGGCACACTCGGGTGTGCGTCTCGGGTGCAGCCTCGGGCACAGCGAGTAAATACACGAGCTGTCGTGAAGGTCTTTGGGGGAACTCTTGACTAATAACAGCTTGGGGTCGGTACTGTAGCCCCCTGAGCTTATCCCAAGCCCTCCTATTTTTTCCCAGACGGAGAGCGGGTTCGCAAGGGAAACAACGAGCTTGGCAAACGCACAAGTTGAACATTCAAGATGCTAGCTCACTTACGTCAAGAAAGGGATTGCGTGGAAGTTCAAATCGACTAGTGCGCAAATAGCATTGAGGGAAGAGCTGTCTGTGTGCTGAAGTTCGCGGTCCCACCAACTCACAACACATAGGCAGGTGCTCATTTCGCAGAGACTGCTGCGTGTAGCGACGAAGAGCTTTTCAGCTGTTGACATGCTAGCGCTATGAATGCATGTTGGCTTACATGCGGTTCTTGACGATCGCCAAGAGGTTGAACCGGATCTCTCCGGCAGAGTACCTAGCGATGCGCTCCTCGATCGCCGGGGACGCCACGCTTAGCCAGTCGTCACCGTGGACTCCAGAGCAAGAAGTGCTAGCGAGGTTTCCACCATGCCCAGGGATGTCGCCCAAATTCACTGGCCCAGATTTCAGACCATCCAGCTCAAAAACCTACCGAAAACAATCACCGGGGGTCCGTCAGGTGGCAGGTAACACACGCGCACAGCGTTAGGCTGCCCGAAGACTTACGGGCAAGCAGATGCAGGTCACAAGGTTAGCTCGGGTAGAAAGGGAGAACATTTCAAAGAAGACTCTCTCGGTTGCTTGCTGCGGCGCTCTTTGAGCTCAACAGGTGAAGAACAGGCAAAGTAGAAAGCTCCCGACATCCAGTGTGACAAGGGCTATCTGCACATCTTCTTGGAATTGCCTGTGACAGTTGCGTGCGTGTTGTTGTGCTCGCACAAAGAGGGGACTCTTAACTCCGCACGGTGACAATTCCCACCTCGAAATACAATTGGCAGGGATCCTTCGACTGGCAGTGTGCATCCGCTCCGTTGGTCGCTCTAGTACGCGTTTAAAGCAAACCTTCTACCGTGTTCACACGCTCGATGTCGTACACAGCAGTGTGTCGGGTGTGCTTTGTGGGCAGAGTAGAGATCTCCCGAGAACCAATACGTGACAAGAGCTATAACATAATTTGCTCCTATATCAGTTTGTGGGTGGCACATCACGCCTAGAACTATGCGTACAGCAGCGATAACTCCCTGACCATATTTATGCGCCCCGGGGGACGCAGAAAACTCATGCACCCAGACCTTTATATGCATACACCGGCCGAACAAATTGGAGAACATGTGTTCAATCTCGAACTCCTGTCCTACCCTGCGTCAGTCTGGCTCTCTATCCTTTCAACCATGGAGTTCGTCCGCTGACTTGCACCAATTCCTATACGTAGTTTTATGCATATCCGTTGGTAACAACTTCTTAGGCGGTGGCCGGAGCATGAAGAAACCGGTTGAACTCTAACGCTAACCCGAACTGCATCCCACACGTAACAGGTTGGTTGGCGTTGGGTGGACAAGGTCAAGGTTGGTGTGCCAGCATAGGTGGCATAGGTGCTAGTTTGGTGTTGACGAGGTAAGTTCAAGGTTGGTGTTGCCGGGACAGGGTCGAGATTGCTAGGTTGGTACTGGGTAGGTGCTAGGTCGGTGGTGCTTGGGGTAGATCTAGGTCGCGGTGCAAAACCTCTCGTTCTGTAGAGGAAGGACTATCTGTCAAACATTTAAGCCCAACGGACACTATGTACAATGCAAATGAGAGAACAAACGCAGTATCGCAATATATTTGCTTGCGGACAGTTGGTGAGTGGGACAAAAAAGGAAGTTGTAGCCGATGCCTGTCATTCCCATCGAATTTGCCAAAGGCGTTTTTGTTCCTGTATTTGGGGTACCAGATTTGGAAGAGGACCCTTTGGAGTGATTACTCTCTGGGAGAACTCGCGTGCAAGGAGAAGGCACACCGGGCAGCGTAGAACAGGAGAGCTACACAGCAGTAGGTGAACTGAGAGAGAAGGATACTAAGGATTTGTCAGGTTTGGAGGTCAAGAAGTCGTGTTCTTCTGTGTTCTTGGCGTTAGCTTGTTGTAGCTAAGAGGTCTGGGCCTGGAGAGGATAGGACGCGCGCTTCACCGACGCGATCAACGACGAACGCGGGAGGTGGGGCTGCGCCACCGAATCGGACGCGATTGCAGCCCGAACTCACTGGTACGTCTAACATGTTTCTTTGAAAACGATAGCATGGCACGGCGAAGCCATGCTGTTGATGCCGTTGGCATTTGGTCTTCTTTCTCATGTGGTACGAACCACATCGTGGAAACACACCACCGTTTGAGACGCAACAAGACACCACACACACAGAAGGGCGGCGCTGGTTCGAACTGCAGCGTGCAATTTGCCGCTGTGAGGTCATTTGTGACCATCGCAGCTGTCGGTCAGTGACCGAAGCGCAGTAGCCCTCGATAGGTATCGCCGCTGAACAACATTTCTCGCATAGACGTCTATGTGCGAAGAATGTTTCCGCCAAGTGGTTGCTCTTGCAAACCCACTCAGCTGTCGACAGCAGCCAAAGAGCAGCGGGGTGGATACGGTAAACACATACAAGCTTGTCGTTGTGGTATAAATGATGACCACAGCTGTCGGCCCAAGGGCCGAGCGGCAGTAGCTGGTAGAGGATGAGATGTGCGTTCTGTGGCGTTGCATGTTCACGTGCTTTCTTTTTCATTGTGGTACGCAGCTACATCGTTAGACGAGCACCACGTTTAGATGCAACAAGACACACATGAAGAGAGATACCGGTTCAAATTGCAGCGCCGGCGTGTACGCCTATGAATACACACGGTGCAATTTGCCGCTGCGAGGCCACTCGTGACCATCGCAGTTGCCGGTCTGTGACCGACGCGCAATACAATAGTCCCCCCATCGGTATCCCCGCTGAACACCATTTGTCGCATTCATCCATGATAAACGAAAAGGTTGACTACATTCGGCTGTCCACAGCCGTCCAAGAGCAGCGGGGCAGATACGGGAAGTAAATTTTACGAGCTACTGACACAAACTGTGCACAGTAGTGCCGTTTTGCCGTTGTGGATACATGATGATCGCAACTGTCGACCACAAAGGGCCGAGCGGTGTCAGTCAAGCAATGGAGGGCAACAATGCTTCCACAGATATATGGCCGCCGAGGGGGTGTTTTCGCGTTTTCCTCTTTGGCGGTCTGTTCTGCAGCACCATGATCTATATGGAAGACCCACACAACCCCGTTTCTCCACTGACCCAACGAAGAGAACAGTAAACTTCAACATCACAGACGTACCTGAAAGGAATAGATCTCCAAAATACCTTTTGGCTGCAGCAGCCTCACGCTACCTTGCTTGTTTGGGACAGACCAGCAAGTGCACCCACGTCCATTCCAGTCAGAGTTCAGAAACTTCACGCTGACTCCATGCTGCTGCTCTTTGATTGGCCAGCTAGTATTTCATCTTCCGCTCCTCACAAAACTCAGATTTCAACGCCTGTCTATACCATCTTCTGCGTTGCGCGTGTCTTTTCCATGATGAGTTTTGCGGGTTGTTCGTTTGTTGAGAACATACACGATACTGAAAGAAGACCAGCTACGCGCTGGAGCTCAACACACATGGTACATTGCAACTGAATCAAGGACAACAAATAAATACCCCCACGAACATTCAACATCATTGGCATCCGTTGGAATTCGATAAGTGGCGACGGAGCGTCTTTTCTTCAACCAGCCAACTGCACGGCAGTTTTCGTTCTTGTACAGTCCCGTGTGTGCCGCAAACACAACACAGCTGTCAACCACAGATGTAAACAGCGGTTTCTCATGGCCGCAGAGGGGACCAAGGCTCTTGATGTTGCTCATGGGAACACATCACGCGACACAGAAGTCCTCTCGCACAACTCTGGCAGCGGTCATTTAAATTTCAATTCCGAAAAATCGAACAATTCAAACATGTGGTGAGCAGTCTACTTGATCCTTTGATTGTGTTTGCGGGAAATAGTCCCACATAACATGGGACACGATCACACAAGACTAAGCGATCAAACGCAGCGGATTATAGCCGTAGGACCTGCAGCAAAGACCCCACTAGCCTAAAAGCACACACTCGCGCACACGCGAAAAGTCACGGCGGGAGAAAACAAAATACCCCGCACATGATGCAAAATCCAGGCAAACTATGCAGGTCGCACGCAAAACCGGCACTAACGAATGTCATGACGTTGAGATGCAACCATGCTACCGCGATGACACTGATTGGCCATCATGTCCTCTTGCGTCGCCCCCGGGAGGCAGGTCACCTAACTCCCGCAGGGGAACCTTGAATGCATGTGCAGTATGCAGTTTTTCGATTTTTTGGGTGGTCGCCTTCGGTTTTCTCCGCTGGGACAGCGATTTTTCTCGCACTTTCTTCTGCATGGGACGCAGCAGGACCCGTCGGTACATTACCCATTACGTGTGGGGCTCGCGAAACACCGGTGGTGCGCGTTAGGCCGCCTAAAGTCGCTGGGACTGGCTCTTCTTTCGGGGGTTGGGAATCCGAAACATAAAAGCCTCCTCTGTCGGGATGAAAACTGAAAACGTAACTTTTTTTTTGCCCCGCGCCACGTGCCACGCACCCACGCGCCCACACAGCTGCTGGTGCATGCTTACCCGCAGCGGGGACCAAGACTCTTGATGTGGCTCTTGGGAACACACCACGCGACACAGAAGTCCTCTCGCACAACTCTGGAAGCGGTCACTTAAATTTCAATTCCGAAAATAAAAAAAAATCAAATGCAGAAGTTGTGGGACTGGAGCAGTCTACGCGTGTGACTGTTCTTGGGTACGTTGAGCGCTGATCCGTTGTTGGTATTTGCGTGAAAACGCCCCACAGACCATGGGAAACACGATCACACAAGAAGAGTAAGTGATCAAACGCAGCGGATTGCAGCAGTAGGACCTACAGCAGGGACGCCGCTAGCCAAAGAGCACACACTCGCGCACAAGCGAAAAGTCACGGCGGGAGAAAACAAAATACCCCGCACATATGATGCAAATTCCAGGCATTATTAGTATGCAGGTTGCACGCACACCGGCACTACCGAACGTCATGACGACCAACCATCCATGCGACCGCGATGACATTGAGTGGCCATGTCCTCTTGCGTCGCCCCCGGGAGGCAGATCACCTAACTCCCGCAGGGGAACCAACCTTGTATGTATATGTAGGATTTCGGCTTTTCTGCTCTTCGTAGTCGTTTTTCTCCTCTGGGACAGCGCTTTTTCTCGTCGCACTTTGTTCTGCATGGCACGCAGAGGACCCGACGGTACACTACCCGTTACGTGTGGGGCTCGCGAGACACCGATGGTGCGCGTTAGGGCCGCCTAAAGTCGCTGGGACTGGCTCTTCTTTCAGGGGTTGGTAATCCGAACCATAAAAGCCTCCTCGGCACGAAAACTGAAAACAGAACTTTTTTTACCCCGCGCCACGCGCCACGCGCCCACACAACTGCTGCTGTGATTGTCGTCCACACAACCACCACACGGCAACTGGCGCATGCGTACCCACAGCGGGGATCAAGACTCTTGATGCTGGTGGGAACACACCACGCGACACAGAAGTCCTCTCGCACAACTCTGGCAGCGGTAATTTGCACATTTCAATTCCGAGAAATCGAAAGTCAAATATAGAAGTTTGGTTCGGTAGCAGTCTAGATTGTATCTGTGACTGTTCTTAGGCACGT